GGCATTAGATTCTGTAAACGACTCTCTTCTTGACACGACCTTCTAGGGTTTCCGCTCCATCTTTTGAGATGGATTTCTAGCTACCTGTGTTCTAGGTCCCAAAGGGTCTTTTTCAAAAATTCCTTATCTTTACCTGTTTTGGTTACTTCTCGAGTACCACAGGGTAGCTATTTAGGCCCCCTACTTTTCACACTCTTTATTAATGACCTGCCTTCTGTATTCAAAATTCTAGAGTACTTAAGCTCCGTGTCCAGTATAAGAAAATTTCATTTCACTCTCGCTCGCAATCTGATCTCAATAGCTTTCAGTCATGGTTCTGTGCAAGTATGTTACACCTTAATGCCTCGAAGTGCAAAGTAATGACTTTTCATCTCTCCAGCCCCTTCCTGGCTCCTTACACCCTCTGCGGTAGTTCTCTCGAGAGAATTAAATAAGTTGATGATCTTGGTGTTAAACTAGACCCCAAGTTAAAGCTTTCTGAACACATTTCTACCATGGTAAATAAAGCCATGGGTGTGCTTGGGTTTATAAAGAGGTGGTCAAAGGAATTTGATGACCCCTATATAACGAAGACTTTCTATATCTCGCTTGTTCGTCCGATTTTAGAATACGGCTCATGTGTATGGTGTATGGTCTTCGGTTAACGAGTCAAAGAACCTTGTGCCCATATCACGACATGATTTTATTGATGGCTTATTAGACCTGTCTCTGTCTCAAGTCAACCATGTAAACAACTCTTTGGGTCGATTGCTTGATCTGTGCTTTGTCTCGGATCCGACCGTAGCGTTGTTAACACGAGCACTCACGCTCACTATACCTGAAGACTGCTATCATCCTACTTTCGAAGTGTCGCTAGATATTGGACCTACTGTATCGGATCGTGCGGNATCGGTACACAATTTATAGGAATGATCGTTCGTCTCGACGTGGAGGAGGGGTTCTGATTGCAGTGGACTCTTACTTCACGTCGAAGCTTTTCATAGTCCAGGTTTCACCAGACCTGGAATTCCTCTGTGTCAGACTGATTCTTCCCGACCAGTCTATTTCCGACTTCGGATGTCTTGATATACGAGCAGCACTTGTCCACTTCACTCTCGCTTGCAATCTGATCTTCAGTCATAGTGCTGTGCAAGTATGTTACACCTTAATGCCTCGAAGTGCAAAGTAATGACTTTTCATCTCTCCAGCCCCTTCCTGGCTTCTTACACCCTCTGCGGTAGTTCTCTCGAGAGAATTAAATAAGTTGATGATCTTGGTGTTAAACTAGACCCCAAGTTAAAGCTTTCTGAACACATTTCTACCATGGTAAATAAAGCCATGGGTGTGCTTGGGTTTATAAAGAGGCGGTCAAAGGAATTTGATGACCCCTATATAACGAAGACTTTCTATATCTCGCTTGTTCGTCCGATTTTAGAATACGGCTCATGTGTATGGTGTATGGTCTTCGGTTAACGAGTCAAAGAACCTTGTGCCCATATCACGACATGATTTTATTGATGGCTTATTAGACCTGTCTCTGTCTCAAGTCAACCATGTAAACAACTCTTTGGGTCGATTGCTTGATCTGTGCTTTGTCTCGGATCCGACCGTAGCGTTGTTAACACGAGCACTCACGCTCACTATACCTGAAGACTGCTATCATCCTACTTTCGAAGTGTCGCTAGATATTGGACCTACTGTATCGGATCGTGCGGGTAGGCTTTCTGAACTCGTCCGCTGCTTTCGTAAAGCCGAGTTTACGAGGCTCAATAACTTAATTAGGGATTTTGATTGACGTCATTGAAGGCACAAACATTTTTTACAATGCACTTGACACAATTGTTGACACGAGTGTCCCACTCTCATGTCCGACTAGATCTGCGAAACCTCCTTGGTTGACCAAAGAGTTATCCAGTCTAAAGAACCTAAAATCGAGACTATTTAACAAATCTCAAGAAGTTGGTTCTCCCTCTTCTCTTTCTAATTACTTAATAGCTCGGGCAAATTTCACTGTTCCTAATGCTCAATGCTAAAGGAAATACCTACTTCGATTCAGGATACGTTTTTCACAGGACCCTAAATAGCTTTACAGCTTTGTAAACAGTAAGCGTAGAACGTCAGCACAAATATCCTCGCTATCATTTTTAAATATGTCGTTAAACAATGATCAGGCAATCGCCGATATTTTTGCACATTTTTTTCAAACAACCTATTCACAGGAAAGCTACCCAGGTCATGTGTATCCATATAGTCTACCAAGGTCGAATGTAATTTTGGGCCTTTCGTGTAATGAAAGCTCCTTACTTCATGAACTTCAATTAGTTAAGCCGGTATCATTCGATTCTGTAAACGACTCTCTTCTTGACTCGACCTTCTAGGGTTTCCGCTCCATCTTTTGAGATGGATTTCTAGCTACCTGTGTTCTAGGTCCCAAAGGGTCTTTTTCAAAAATTCCTTATCTTTACCTGTTTTGGTTACTTCTCTAGTACCACAGGGTAGCTATTTAGGCCCCCTACTTTTCACACTCTTTATTAATGACCTGCCTTCTGTATTCAAAATTCTAGAGTACTTAAGCTCCGTGTCCAGTATAAGAAAATTTAATTTCACTCTCGCTCGCAAACTGATCTCAATAGCTTTCAGTCATGATGCTGTGCAAATATGTTACAACTTAATGCCTCGAAGTGCAATATAATGACTTTTTATCGCTCCAGCCCCTTCCTGGCTCCTTACACCCTCTGCGTTAGTTCTCTTGAGAGAATTACATTGGTTGATAATCTAGGTGTTAAACTAGACCCCAAGTGAAAGTGTTCTGAACACATTTTTACCATGGTAAATAAAGCCATGGGTGTGCTTGGGTTTATAAAGAGGTGGTCAAAGGAATTTGATGACCCCTATATAACGAAGACTTTCTATATCTCGCTTGTTCGTCCGATTTTAGAATACGGCTCATGTGTATGGTGCCCTCAGTACAACATACATCAGGATCGTATAGAATCAGTACAGAAAAACTTTTTATTATTTGCCCCACGAGGCGTCAACTGGGATGCAACTATGAGACTGCCATCCTACCGTAGTAGACTTCTTTTAATAAATCTTCCATCCTTAGTTAGTCGTATGAACAACTTGATCAAGGGGGGTGTAGACAGCCGTGACTTGTTGAGCCGCGTAAACTTTACGATTCCTATTAGACCCACTAGAAACTATATTCCTTTGGTCCTTCCACTGTGTAGATCGAATTATGCCTTGCACGAACCCTTTAGGGTTTTATGCTCGGATTATAATTCCCTCTATCACATTATATCCTCGACTAATTCCCTTCCTCTTCTTAAATCTCTTATACTAGCCTATGCTATAGTTGCTCTAGTTTAGTTGTGTTTAGTTCTAATTGTCCTCGAATATTAGCCTAACATATATCTTTCCTGCATGCTCGCGACTGGTTCGGCTAATCGCGCCGCGCGTCATGCGGCAGCGCCCCGCGGTCGGTTGGGCGGGGGGAGGGCTGCGTTCTGCTGGGTTCATCGCGTCACAGGCTTTGGGTTGGTGTCGCATGGGCCACTTGATGATGCAGTCATTGCATATCAACGTCTCGACTCTATCGTCAAATATCGCTGTGTAAGGAAGAAGTCGATTTCCGTCCATGGAGGCAATTCCTTTTTGTTAGTTACTGACACTTTCCAAAGAGCCCGCGTGAGTTTTGGCAACTTGGAGGCACAGATAGTCACGTGAATACTATCCCAATTGTCTGTGCAGACTTAGGAGTGGGCAAGAGCGGCAAGGGGTCTTGCATCGTACTTTGAAGCTCCTTCGAGTAGCGGTGAACTCTCTACCATGTCTTTCGGATCGCCATGGGTCTTGTTGGTGAAGTTCTACAGCTTTTCCACTGGAGACAGACTCGGGTTGTCGATATATATCGCGGCGAAAAAGTCCAGGAACTTAGTGCAGCGGACGTAATCCCTGTGAAAAGTTCAATACCACGGCGGGTAGCTGACAGCCGGTCAATTTGGGCAATGAGGTCAACTGTGCACTAACATACGCCGTACAAACCTTGGAGCTCCTTTTGGTCCTCCGGGGCCCACTATCCACATCCACCTTTGCCCACATACTCTGTAATTGTAGATTGTAGATTGAGCCATTCAAAGGGTGTGGCTGTAAGAATTAAAAGGCGGGTGCGAAGGCACCTTATGCGTAATCGGCGAAGGAAACAAAACCGATTTGGTCTTCGAACTAGTGGCGGCCCTTGGAACCAAACCAACTGTTTCTGAAAGATATGAGGCTTGGAAATGGAATTATGATATTTTTATACCCGGTACTCGAAGAGTAAATAGGGTATAATCAATCGGATCCAAATTCGGTGATCTGATAAATATGGTCATTCCCTACGGAATGGCGTCTTTAGTTTTCTTTTATCTTCAAAATTGTATGTTTGGGAGGTTGTCGTCCTTTTCCGGGGCGGAAGGGGGCGGGCCTAATTTTTTAAATACACTGGTTTCAATGTGAGCATACAGAAGTATGGATGCAAAATATGGTGGCTTTAGTTTTTATGGTCTCTGAGATCCAGGCGCTCAACAAGACGGACAGACTGACAGACATAGACTCGGCTATTGATGCCGATCTAGAATATATATACTTTATGGGGTCGCAAACGTTTCCTTCTGTGCATTACATACATTGACTCTGTGCACAAATACAATATACCCTATTTACTTTTCGATTACCGGGTATAAAAATATCATTGGAGAATTTCTAAGCCCTTGTTTCCGCAACTCCTCGCAACCAGTTCGGAATCAAAATCTCGAAATAAAAAGCCAAGTGCTTCTGGTTCGACCGAGTCGGAATTCAATTCAATTTAATATTCTTCTTTTACATTTTGATATTCACTTATTACATGCATGTTCTTCCTCTTTCTCTATCGTATTCACATATTACATGTATATTCTATAGCAACAAACTTCTGTGAGTATGTCGTAAATGCAACAATTCAATATCTTAATGCTACAAATTCATTTTACTTATACAAAATACTAATTGCTCCCGGCCATAAGCCTTTTGCGCTAATTTGGCGTAAACATACTCCCGGCCTTGGAAGCTCCTTCCAACCATTTTACTCTTTGTCTCCAATCGGTAACGGGCAGATCTTGTGTATGTTGCGCTTGTACAATCCTGATTTGGTTTTTATGGTGACTACACGAACTACACCATCAGTGCCAGGATGAACTTGATGTACGCGACCCAGAGCCCATTGTCCTGGCGGTATCTTGTCTTCTCCAATTAAGACCAAAATGCCTGGTTGAATGTTGTTGCATACCGAAGACCACTTGCTTCGCTCCTGCAACAACGTCAAATACTCCAGCGACCAGCGTCTCCAAAATGCATGGTGTACTGCGACGATTCTTTTCCATCGATTAGTAGCAGATAACTTCAAAATGTCCTCATCAAATGGCTCAGGCATGCAGTTCAATGGTCGACCAATTAAGAAAAGACCCGGCGTCAATGCCTCGTAGTCATTACTGTCCGACGAAAGTGGGTGTAGCGGTCGTGAGTTCATCACTACCTCTGCTTGTGCTATCGCTGTGACCAATTCCTCGTAGTTAAGCGCTATGCTATTGAAACTTCGCACCAACAATTGCTTCGCTACTTTCACCGCGCTCTCCCATAGTCCTCCAAAATGCGGCGATCGGGGTGGGATAAAATGGAAACTGACACCGAGTTGGCTGCACTGATCCACAATTTGTTGCTTGCCACTGTCATTCCAGATCAAATCCGTTATCGCCTTCAGCTCCCGTGAAGCACCAACAAAATTGGTGGCATTATCACAAAACAGCTCTGCGCTGATCCCACGACGAGCAAAAAATCGTTTGAGTGCGGCTATAAATGCGTTTGTGCTCAGGTCTGGAACAAGCTCTAGATGACAAGCCTTGCTCAAAAAGCATACAAAAACGCACAGATAAACCTTGATAGGCCGCCGTCCTCTTTGGTTGAAGTGCATCCATAGCGGTCCAGCGTAGTCGAGTCCAGTACGTTCAAAGGCCTTCACTCCTTGCTGCACTCGGCTTGCTGGTAAGGAACCCATAATTTGCGTAGCTAATATTGGACGTTGGCGAAAACATGCAATGCAACTCCTTACCGTGCTGCGAGCTAGTTTTCTAGCATTGATGACCCAAAAACGCTGTCGCACAAAAGTACATAACGCTTGTCCTCCGACATGCATGTTGCTTCGATGCGTATATTCAAACAATGATTTTATAACAATATGATTATTTGGTAAAAGCATTTGGTGTTTGGTGTTAAATGGTACATTTGGCCCTAGACAGCCTGCCACCTACACGAATTATTTCTATACCCTCAGACTGGTGTATAAACGGGTTAAGTGCTTGAATTTTTGAAGAACTTATAATTTTGCCATTGCGTAATTTTTCGATCTCAGTGTAAAAACTTAAAGCTTGCAAATTGAATACTACATAATTCAAGCCACCTTTTAATTCGAGTGCCGTTAGCTCTTTAGCTCTAGCCGAATCAATCTTTTGTGCAATTTGACGCCAACGATAAACTAAACCAAATACTCTCGTTAGTTTTAAAAAATCATTAGCATATTTGCTACCTCCTATTATGTCATCTACTATAATCTTTGGACAGGCTAGCAGGCTAAATTTGTTGTTTCGTTTTTCGGGGAGCCCCTCTGAACCTTGCCATTCCCCAAGTGTCCACTGCTCATCAGGCAACTGCAAGAATTCTGGTCCTTGCCACCACAACGACGAAGCCTTTACCTGACTTGTGCACAGCCCTCGCGAAACGATATCTGCCGGATTTTGCTTCGATTCTATCTTGTACCACTCCTGTGCCTTCGACAGCTCTTGAATTAAAGCTACTGTGTTAGCCACAAACGTTGTCCAACGACTAGCATGCGATGCGATCCAACTCAAAACAATTGTCGAATCTGTAAAGTAACCTTTTTGATTTTTGCCATAAGCTGCGCTAACAGTCTCGCACCTTCTAATTCTAATCTAGGTAGCGATATTACTCGAACAGGTGCAACCTTCGATTTGGCTGCCAACAAATTTGCTGAAATGTCTCCATGCTCATCAATGACTCGAACATATACCGCCGCTCCGTAAGCTCTAGAAGAGGCATCTGAAACCCCATACAGCTCAATTCTGTCTGACGCGGCATGGACTGGCACTACAGCTCGAGGCAACGAACACTCATGAACAAGTTCCAATTCGCTTCTGTATTTCTGCCATTGCAGCGCATAGCTTGGTGGCTATGATGCATGCTGGCTATGCATCCCACTGCTGCTTTAGCAGCCACAGTTCTTGCATGAAAACCTTTCCTAAAATCAAAAGTGGGCTCAGAAATCCCATTGGATCAAACAACTGTGCTAACTATCATAACACGATACGCTTCGAATTACTTGCGACGTACGAAAATTGAAACTTATTGAAACTTGTTACCTAGAGCTCTAATTTTTCTACTGCGACTGCACCATCTCCATCACAATAGCTGTTAGAACGCCACTTATGAAGCTCGAATCGCCCCAACTTTAACAACTCGGTAACTTCATTTTTTAATTCCTTCAGCTGCTCGTAAGAGCTCGCTCCAGCTAGCATATCATCCATGTAGAAGTTTTGCTTTACAGCTTCGCTAGCTAATGGGAATGATTCCCCAAATTGATCCGTTAAATAGTAAAGACATCATAACTGCTAGAAAAGGTGCTGAATTGGTTCCATAGGTAACCGTTTTAAGGCGTAGTACCTTAATTGGGTCAGTACCACAATTACGCCATAAAATTCACAAATAATTGCAGTGGCTTGGCTCAACTAATATTTGCCTATACATCTTAGAGATGTCAGCAGTCAATACGAATCGATAAAACCGGAATCGAGTAAGGGTCTCGAACAAATCTGGTTGCAACGTTGGTCCTACCAGCATACGAAATATGACTCTCACCTTTGTCGTCAAACTTTCTGGGCGAATTACCGGATGATGGGGCATGACATATTTAACCACGTCTTATCAGCCGCGACCTCCTCTAAATGATCCAATTGCCGGTACTCATTGATAAATTCTGCGTAAGCTCTCTTGAGCTCTGGATTCTTATTGAACTTTCGGTTTAAATTCAAAAACCTAGTCAAAGCGATACTATAGGAATTCCCTAGCGACTTCAGTGGCTGTGCAAAAGGCAAGCGAACTACTATACGATTATCGTTTGTCCGTTTCACTGTAGCCACAAAAATCTCTTCACAAAGCCTTTCAGATTCTGTTAATACCTTTCCGGGTCGCGACACTTCCTCGCATTGCCAGAACTGTTGCACCAAATTTTGCAACTGGTCAGCCTCCTGTTGCCTTGGACCGTCAGGTTTATTGACAATCAACGCTACATTCTCGTCAGGACTGCACTCGCCTACCACTATCCATCCTAGCAACAATCTCTGTAGTACTGGCTTATTTAAACCCATTTTGATCTGATCAGCTACTATTAGCTGAAAGAACAAATTAACTCCAAGTAGCATATTTATTTCTTCTGCCGAATCAAATGAAGGATCTGCAAGTTTTACCTTCCTTGGAACCAGTGATCTTATGACTCCTGTCGCTGTGGGATGATACCGTGTTATTCCGGCAAAACACTAAACTTGCCTGCTGCAACAAAGTTTGTCACTCTGGACTTGAACGTTGTTTCAATCTCCCCAACAACCTCGGACTTCAAGTTTCCAATACCATTCAGTGAATACTGCACTTCGCTCACTGGAAGGTTTAGCTGCGACGCAAATCTGGCTGTCACAAAATTAATTTAACTACCTGAATCTAAAACACATCTGCGTTTATAGAATCTACTATCTGCACCTTTAACCAGTACAATGGCAGTAGCTAAACAACTCTATTTGTAAGAAGCGAACTTTGCACTGGCCATTGCCTAGAGCCCTTGTTGCATTTCCATTGGTTGCTTCCCTATGTAACAAGATATGATGTGGCTTATTACAGATAGTGCACAATGGCGCCGAAAAAACCTTAGTTCGATACCGCTTGCTAAAACAACGAAAGCATAAACCATGTTTCTTAATTTCAAAATCTTTGTAGAGGAGTCAGAGAAGCAAATTTCGGACACACCTTTACGCTATGCGAACCTGAGCAGCAGTGGCATGAAGATCCATTTTCATGTACTGCGGCCGCCAAACTTTCCCCTTTTTCCGCTGCTGCTAGTCTTAACCATACCTGTCTTTCTCACTTCTCGACCCGCTAGATTAATGCCTCTGTTGACTATAAACAGTGAAAGCGCCTTCCATGATGGCAATTGAGAACAATCGAATTCGTTCTCCCATTTTTCCAGTGAGTCTTCATCCAACTTGCTTTGGACTAAGTGAAACAAAAGCGCGTCTAAGATTTGAATCTCACTGCCTAATGAGCGTAGAGCCTCCAACTGAGAGTTAACAGCATCAACTAATCCTCTTAGTAAATCCGAATTAGCATGTTTTAGCTTATTTATGCTAAAAAGCTCATGCACATGGGCTTGAACAATTATGGACTTATTTTCAAATCGATTCTTAAGCAGCTGCAATGCCCTTCTGTAGTTTGCTGCAGACAGCTCCAAACACTCAATAGTACGCAAGGGAATTGGGCCTAAACACGACCTTAAGTTGACAGTTCGACAACTTCACAATCCGTTTCTATCAACGTTTCAAAAGTGTTGAACCAACTTGTCCACTCTGTAACCTTTCCACCAAATTCGGGCAACTTCAACTTAGGTAACTTCGAAGCACGCGAATTTCCCGGCGAAACGGACAGCGTAGAATTAGCAGACGGACTTGAACCAAATGCCACTTGACGGCCCCTTTTGGGCTAACTGTGCCAGAATTTTAGCCTTTATTTCACAATATAAATTTTCAATTTCTTGTCTAGTCCCAAATTCACGCACATCGTCACTATCATTTTCTATTTGTTGTTGGATGCTGCATAATTGCGTAAAAACTGATTCGACAAGACTCATTCGCGCTTCTAACTCTGATTCAACCATTGCGGCACATTTCTCCGAAATATATGCCTTGTTTCGAGTTAATGAAGCCATCAAACTTTCTCGCGAAACACTAAAGTCCGAAACTTTACCTTTCTTTGGAGCCATTTTGCTCGCACTATTGTTAACCAATGTTAATACAACCTAGTATAGCTATTTGAGCTCGGTGTTACAATGCTCACACCATCAATTAGCTACCGAAATTAAATCAGTTAAACAATGCACTCAACGTTGTGCCAAAANAAAAAGCTCATGCACATGGGCTCGAACAATAATGGACTTATTCTCAAATCGATTCTTAAGCAGCTGCAATGCCCTTCTGTAGTTTGCTGCAGACAGCTCCAAACACTCAATAGTACGCAAGGGAATCGGGCCTAAACACGACCTTAAGTGGATAAATTTTGACAGTTCGACAACTTCACAATCCGTTTCTATCAACGTTTCAAAAGTGTTGAACCAACTTGTCCACTCTGTAACCTTTCCACCAAATTCGGGCAACTTCAACTTAGGTAACTTCGAAGCACGCGAATTTCCCGGCGAAACGGACAGCGTAGAATTAGCAGACGGACTTGAACCAAATGCCACTTGACGGCCCCTTTTGGGCTAACTGTGCCAGAATTTTAGCCTTTATTTCACAATATAAATTTTCAATTTCTTGTCTAGTCCCAAATTCACGCACATCGTCACTATCATTTTCTATTTGTTGTTGGATGCTGCATAATTGCGTAAAAACTGATTCGACAAGACTCATTCGCGCTTCTAACTCTGATTCAACCATTGCGGCACATTTCTCCGAAATATATGCCTTGTTTCGAGTTAATGAAGCCATCAAACTTTCTCGCGAAACACTAAAGTCCGAAACTTTACCTTTCTTTGGAGCCATTTTGCTCGCACTATTGTTAACCAATGTTAATACAACCTAGTATAGCTATTTGAGCTCGGTGTTACAATGCTCACACCATCAATTAGCTACCGAAATTAAATCAGTTAAACAATGCACTCAACGTTGTGCCAAAAATGTGAAGTCACTCAAAGCGATCTTTCTCTAAAACACCACGGACTCAAAAATGCACTCAAACGCAGTACCCAAATTGCTAACTGACTTCAACAATGCCCTCAACGTAGGGCTCTGAATTATTAAATCACTCAACAAACGAACTTATGAGGGATAAGCAATGCAAAATAAACCGGCTTAATATGTCTGTATGTATTTCCTTTAATAGTGTCATATACGCGTGCGAACAGCTGTAGCTTCTTTCTTTTAACTATTTTCCACCGCTGCGCTTGCTCACGCTATTCCAAGATCAGTTCAAGGTTACGAACTCTATGCACTTTCTGAAATACGTACATACATATGTACATGCATGTGTGACAGTGTCTTTTGCCTTTACTATTTTCTTAAGTTCCAATTGAACCAAGTACACTCACACTCACACTTGCATATACTCGAACCTTAACTATCTCGAGTTAGCCGTACACTTCCTTAAGCACCAATGTGTACTTATTTAACACTTTTAACCCACCAGCTTATTTGCCAATGTTTAAACTTTCATTATATTTTAATTACTATCGACTTGCAACATACATAAAGGATGTGCCGCTATTTTGGCCTCACCAAGCTATATACTACTCACAGTCCGATTACAGAGCCGACACTTCAGCTTCCAATACGCTAGCAGCTCCAAGCCTCCGTATGTAATTAATCCAAAACTAATTAAGCTCCAACGATGAGCTTCAAATGGGACGTGAACTTTTTCCAAGAAGTCCCTGCTCGGGCGCCAAATGTTTCCGCAACTCCTCGCAACCAGTTCGGAATAAAATCTCGAAGTAAAAAGCCAAGTGCTGCTGGTTCGACCGAGTCGGAATTCAATCATTTTAATACTCTCCTTCTTTCAATTTCGCTATTCACCTATTACATGCATGTTCTTCCTCTTTCTCTGTCGTATTCACATATTACATGTATGTTCTATAGCAGCAATCTTCTGTGAGTATGTCGTAAATGCAACAATTTAATATCTTAATGCTACAAATTCATTTTACTTATACAAAATACTTGCTCGCGGCCATAAGCCCTTTGCGCTAATTTAGCGTAAACAGCGCTCTTTGGGAAAAATCGTTTCGGCTAATGTTATTTGGATGTGGACTTAACACCAATTGACCAAACTTTATGGGAAACTAAGTTCGGCTATAATTTTAAGTCTTTTATGTCTGGACATTGAAATGCAATGACTGCACAATCAAGTGGCAAATGCGACACCAAGCCAAAGCCTGTTACGCGCGCAACCCAGCAGAACGCAGCGCTCCTCCCGCCCAACCGACCGATTAACTGAACCGAACGAAAGATAGATGTTAGGCTAATATTCGAGGAAAATTAGAACAAAACACAACTAAACTAGAGCAACTATAGCTAAGCCAGCAAAATTACCAAAAACAGAAAAACAAGACAAAAACGTGAAGGGACGTGTGAGACGCTTCTTACGCGTCACAACTTTTATACCCGGCACTCAGTACTACATCTGCACCTTATCGGTGTTTTGTCAAATTTTACATTTTTTCTTCATCTATTATCTACATCTACAACACTTCTCACACCAACACGCTCCTTTAGCTCGTCGCCCTTCCCTAGACCCACACACTGCAGACTCGCGGCAGAAGCAGCGCCCGCACACAAAAAAAAACAAATATAAGCTGCGGGACGGGGTGTGGGTTAAAAGTCGGAAGAGGCATTGGCAGGGGGAGGGCAGAGGCAGGGGCCGAGTGAAGCAGAAGCTGAGTGTGAATCTCTCATTCACAATGATCTCAAAATCTCAATTCAATGTAAAAAAAACAACAAAAGCTGCGGGACAGGGTGGGTTTGGCCACTGCAAATTAATTTCTTCATTGTGGCTATAATAATGATCTAATCGGATCCCAATTTGGTGATCTGATAGATATGGCCATTCACTACGGAATGTTTAGTTCTCGTTTATCTAAAAAATTGTAGATTTGGGAGGTTTTCGCCCTTTTGCGGGGGAGGAAGGGGGCTTGGCTCATTTTTGAAATACACTTGTAACAGTGTGAGCATACAGAAGTCTGGATGCAAAAATTGGTTTTAGCTTTTATGGTCTCTGAGATCCAGGCGGTCAACAAGACCGCCACGGACGGACAGATAGACATGGCTCAATCGACTCATCTATTAATGCTGATCAAGAATATATATAATTTATGGGGTCGGAAACGTTTCCTTCTGGGTGTTACATACATTAACTTTGTGCACAAATACAATATACCCTATTTACTCGTCGAGTATCGGGTATAATAAAATGAAACTAACTACGGGAGAGGTGGGCTAGTATAAGAGATTTAAGAAGAGGAAGGGAGTTAGTCGAGGATGTAATGTGATAGAGGGAATTATAATCCGAGCATAAAACCAGAAACGTTCGTGTAAGGCATAATTTGATCTAAAAAGTGGAAGGAACAAAGGAATAAAGTTTATAGTGGGTCTAATGGGACTCGTAAAGTTTATGCGGCTCAGCAAGTCATTGCTGTCTACATCCCCCTTGATCAAGTTGTGCATAAAAATTACACCAAGCATTTTTCTAAAACTAACTAAGGATGGAAGGTTTATTAGAAGTAGTCTACTCCGGTAGGATGGCAGTCTCACAGTTGCATCCCAGTTGAGGCCATGCTGGGCAAAAAGTAAAAAGTTGTTCTGTACTGATATAATACGGTCCTGATGTATGTTGTACTGAGGGCACCATACACATGAGCCGTATTCTAAAATCGGACGAACAAGCGAGATATAGAAAGTCTTCGTTATATAGGGGTCATCAAATTCCTTTGACCACCTCTTTATAAACCCAAGCACACCCATGGCTTTATTTACCATGGTAAAAATGTGTTCAGAACACTTTCACTTGGGGTCTAGTTTAACACCTAGATCATCAACCAATGTAATTCTCTCAAGAGAACTAACGCAGAGGGTGTAAGGAGCCAGGAAGGGGCTGGAGCGATAAAAAGTCATTATATTGCACTTCGAGGCATTAAGTTGTAACATATTTGCACAGCATCATGACTGAAAGCTATTGAGATCAGTTTGCGAGCGAGAGTGAAATGAAATTTTCTTATACTGGACACGGAGCTTAAGTACTCTAGAATTTTGAATACAGAAGGCAGGTCATTAATAAAGAGTGTGAAAAGTAGGGGGCCTAAATAGCTACCCTGTGGTACTAGAGAAGTAACCAAAACAGGTAAAGATAAGGAATTTTTGAAAAAGACCCTTTGGGACCTAGAACACAGGTAGCTAGAAATCCATCTCAAAAGATGGAGCGGAAACCCTAGAAGGTCGAGTCAAGAAGAGAGTCGTTTACAGAATCGAATGATACCGGCTTAACTAATTGAAGTTCATGAAGTAAGGAGCTTTCATTACACGAAAGGCCCAAAATTACATTCGACCTTGGTAGACTATATGGATACACATGACCTGGGTAGCTTTCCTGTGAATAGGTTGTTTGAAAAAAATGTGCAAAAATATCGGCGATTGCCTGATCATTGTTTAACGACATATTTAAAAATGATAGCGAGGATATTTGTGCTGACGTTCTACGCTTACTGTTTACAAAGCTGTAAAGCTATTTAGGGTCCTGTGAAAAACGTATCCTGAATCGAAGTAGGTATTTCCTTTAGCATTGAGCATTAGGAACAGTGAAATTTGCCCGAGCTATTAAGTAATTAGAAAGAGAAGAGGGAGAACCAACTTCTTGAGATTTGTTAAATAGTCTCGATTTTAGGTTCTTTAGACTGGATAACTCTTTGGTCAACCAAGGAGGTTTCGCAGATCTAGTCGGACATGAGAGTGGGACACTCGTGTCAACAATTGTGTCAAGTGCATTGTAAAAAATGTTTGTGCCTTCAATGACGTCAATCAAAATCCCTAATTAAGTTATTGAGCCTCGTAAACTCGGCTTTACGAAANAATTACATTCGACCTTGGTAGACTATATGGATACACATGACCTGGGTAGCTTTCCTGTGAATAGGTTGTTTGAAAAAAATGTGCAAAAATATCGGCGATTGCCTGATCATTGTTTAACGACATATTTAAAAATGATAGCGAGGATATTTGTGCTGACGTTCTACGCTTACTGTTTACAAAGCTGTAAAGCTATTTAGGGTCCTGTGAAAAACGTATCCTGAATCGAAGTAGGTATTTCCTTTAGCATTGAGCATTAGGAACAGTGAAATTTGCCCGAGCTATTAAGTAATTAGAAAGAGAAGAGGGAGAACCAACTTCTTGAGATTTGTTAAATAGTCTCGATTTTAGGTTCTTTAGACTGGATAACTCTTTGGTCAACCAAGGAGGTTTCGCAGATCTAGTCGGACATGAGAGTGGGACACTCGTGTCAACAATTGTGTCAAGTGCATTGTAAAAAATGTTTGTGCCTTCAATGACGTCAATCAAAATCCCTAATTAAGTTATTGAGCCTCGTAAACTCGGCTTTACGAAAGCAGCGGACGAGTTCAGAAAGCCTACCCGCACGATCCGATACAGTAGGTCCAATATCTAGCGACACTTCGAAAGTAGGATGATAGCAGTCTTCAGGTATAGTGAGCGTGAGTGCTCGTGTTAACAACGCTACGGTCGGATCCGAGACAAAGCACAGATCAAGCAATCGACCCAAAGAGTTGTTTACATGGTTGACTTGAGACAGAGACAGGTCTAATAAGCCATCAATAAAATCATGTCGTGATATGGGCACAAGGTTCTTTGACTCGTTAACCGAAGACCATACACCATACACATGAGCCGTATTCTAAAATCGGACGAACAAGCGAGATTTAGAAAGTCTTCGTTATATAGGGGTCATCAAATTCCTTTGACCGCCTCTTTATAAACCCAAGCACACCCATGGCTTTATTTACCATGGTAGAAATGTGTTCAGAAAGCTTTAACTTGGGGTCTAGTTTAACACCAAGATCATCAACTTATTTAATTCTCTCGAGAGAACTACCGCAGAGGGTGTAAGAAGCCAGGAAGGGGCTGGAGAGATGAAAAGTCATTACTTTGCACTTCGAGGCATTAAGGTGTAACATACTTGCACAGCACTATGACTGAAGATCAGATTGCAAGCGAGAGTGAAGTGGACAAGTGCTGCTCGTATATCAAGACATCCGAAGTCGGAAATAGACTGGTCGGGAAGAATCAGTCTGACACAGAGGAATTCCAGGTCTGGTGAAACCTGGACTATGAAAAGCTTCGACGTGAAGTAAGAGTCCACTGCAATCAGAACCCCTCCTCCACGTCGAGACGAACGATCATTCCTATAAATTGTGTACCGATCTGCTAAAACTTCGGAACTAAGAATGTCTCATTATATTCATTATTGGGTTTTTATATAAAAGCAAAAATTTGTACACTGTTTTTGATGTGAAATATTGTTTTGTAAAATTCGAATACATATGTATATTGTTTCTTTGACAGAATGTTGAACTTCCTGAATCATTTTCTGTTGAGTTAAAAAATTTGTTGGAAATGTTACTTCAAAGGGAGGTTTCTAAACGACTCGGTTGCATGGGAAATGGGTGAGATATTACGGCATTTAATATTTAACAAAAATATATCGATTTGTATATTTTAAAAGCGCCGATGAAGTAAAAATGCACAATTTTTTTTGTGGAATCGACTGGCACCAAGTTTACATTCAAAAATATACTCCACCATTAGTACCTCCACGAGGAGAAGTAAATGCCGCTGATGCCTTTGACATCGGATCTTTTGATGAAGAAGACACGAAGGGCATTAAGTTAAATGATACCGACCAAGATCTGTACAAGCTTTTTTCGTTGACCATATCTGAAAGGTAAGCTGTAACTTGTAAAACAAATCCCGATACACCATCGATTCTTATATGCTTTATAATCTGATTTATAACTGCTTTTATATTGAGGAATAGAGATTTGCAGGACTTAAAAATTCATTGTTTCGCTAATAAAATATTATAGTCATTTAATGAAACAAAGTATTGTGAAGAAATTTAATTGTTCGATTTTTCCTCAACTCTTTCTCTAAATTATTGGGTTTTGTAAATCTCGGTGTGACAACATTAAAAATACTGTACTGTCCGTACTGATGAGCACCTAAACCGCAGACTCTTACATCCATATTTCTGCGATTTCCCGCTGTTAAAAAGGTATTTTAAAATTGTTCCCCTATCCTATTACAAGGAAAATATTTATTATAAACAACTTTGAGCATACGATAAATCCAAAAACGCATAACCGGAGAGTATGATTTCTTAGCTGAATAATAAATTGTATAGAATATTGCGGTACTCGAAGAGTAAATAAGGTTTTTTTGTATTTGTGCGAATAACGGTTGTATGTGACGACAGAAGAATACTTTTCCGACTCCATAAAATTCTTGATCAGCATGAATAGCCGAGTCGATAGAGCCATGTCTGTCTGTCCGCCTTGTTGCCTTGTCTTGTTGATCGCCTGGATCTCAGAGGCTATAAAAGCTAGAGCCACCACACTGTTACAAGTGTATTTCAAAAACGATAGCCGCCCCCTTCCGCCCCCGCAAAAGCGCGAAAACCTCCCAAAGCTACAATTTTAAAGATAAAAGAAAACTTGAAACGCCATTCCGTAGGGAATGACCATATCTATCAGATCATCGAATTGGGCTAGTATCATTATTATAGCCAGAATGAAGAAATTAATTTGCAGTGGCTAAACGCCGTCCAGCAGATTTTGTTGTATTTTTTCACATTCTCTCATTCACACTCTGCTTCGCTCAGTGGGCTGCCACTGACTCTGCAGTGTGCGGCTCTAGGGAAGGGGGCGTGCTAAAGGAGCGTGTTGGCGTGAGAAGTGCTGTAGATGTAAATGACAGATTAAGAAAAAATGTAAAATTTGACAAAAAATCGCGAAGGTACAGATGTGATACTTAGTACCGGGTGTAAAAGTTGTGACGCGTTCGAAGAGTCTCACACGTCCCTTTCTCGTTTTACACATGTTACCTTTGGGAGGTTTTTGCCCTTTTCCGGGGGCGGGGATTATTTTTTAAATACTCTTGTAACAGTGTGAGCATACATAAGTCTGGATGCAACATTTTTTGGCTCTAGCTCTTATAGTCTCTGAGATCCTGGCGCTCAACAAGACGGACGGACAGACGGACAGACAGACATGGCTCTATCGACTCTGCTATTGATGCTGATCAAGAATATATAACCTTTATGGGGTCGGAAACGTTTCCTTTTATGCGTTACATACATCCGTTATTCCCCACAAATACAATAAACCCTATTTACTCTTCGAGTACCGGGTATAAAAATATTGCGAATATTATCTAACAGATGCGAATCAATGTATTCCATCAAGAGTAAAGATGGCACGTGGACCAACTCCAGTAAGAAGTCCCTACACATCCTACTTACTCCCTCCCCAGGGTGCACAGCTACCGAACCACCTGAACGCCTCGGAGAAGGCTCAGCCACCTCGATGTTGCACCTCCTCACAAAACGGAATATTTGCTGGGCGGTGAACAGATTTAAACCGATCAAATCGCCAGGTCCAGACAAGGTCATCCCCGCTCAACTTCAGAAGGTTAAAGACCAGCCTATCAACTGGCTACAATGTATCTTTAAGAAGATACAAAAGGTAGGAAAGATTCCTAAAGCATGGCTAAAAGCAGAAATTGTCTTCATCCCGAAAGCGGGAAAAGCCTCCTACTCGACGGCAGCGGACTTCAGACCGATTAGTAAAGTAGTGGGTCGCAAAGTAGTGGCATATGCATACGACGTTGTCCTAATGTTCACGGAAAAATTTCCCCAAACACTCTGTGATCTCATGACCACAAACTAGCGCGATTGTCAGAATGCAGAAAATCATGCGGACTGGGTGTAAATGCTTCGAAAACGGAACTTGTACTATTCACTAACAAGTACAAAACTCCGCCGCTCAACCCCCAACACTAAACAAAAGAAGGTTACCCTTTAGCGGCAGTGCCAGTTACCTTGGGTTGGTAACAGGTAGACAGGAAGTTAAATTGGAACCTAAACACGAAAGAAAGAGTGAAGAAGGCCACAATGGCCCTATACACCTGCAAAAAAGCCATTGGATTAAAATGGGGCATGAACCCACGGATAGTTCAATGGATATACCAAGCTGTAGCCAAACAAATACTTCTCTACTGGCGATCACCGCTCAACTGAAAAAAGTCTAACGAACGGCCACTCTATGCATCAGTGGCGCTCTACGCACCACTCCAAATGATGCACTAAATGCCATCCTATGCCTGCAGGGCATAGACCTTGCAGGGAAGCAACAGGCAGCAAGGGCAGCAATACGTCTGCGAGATTCGGACCTATGGACGTCACGACCATATGGTCACTCAGCGATCTTTAGGGACACTAATATAGTTCCTCATAGGAATGATTATTGCGTTCCCAGAGAGTACAGCCACTCCCTTCGATAATCCCCCCCTCCCCCCAGAGAGGAATGGCTCGAAGGCACACCTATCCCAACGGGGGCCATAAGGCATTCCTTTCGCCTTCCACACCACTGCAGTGTCTTCCAAGCGGATGTCATTGTTTTAAAAGAAGCGCTAAGATGCCTTCAATAGATCTTAGTCGCGGCTACTCACCTCAACATCTATAGTGACAGCCAGGTGGCACTAAAATCTCTAAACGCGATTTCGTCGAATTCGACCACAGTGGCGACAGCCAATCTCTACACGAGATGGCAAGGCAATATATAATTAGCCTAATATGGGTCCTGGGACACCAGGACATTGAAGGTAACTGTATAGCAGACGAGTTGGCCAGATCCGGCACTACACTCCCCTTTAATCAAGATAAGGAGGAAATACGTATGCCAATGGCCACTTGCAAGTTCAAAATAAAAGAGTACTTTACCCTGCAAAGAAACAGCAGATGACAAATGGTCACGGGATGTCGCATCACCCGACAAACGTGGCCAGACATCTCAAAAAAGCGCACCACTGAGTTGTGTAAACTCAGCAGAACAAGATGCAGCGTAGTCATTCGCTTCCTCACTGGGCATTGGCTGATAGGTACCAAGAAAATAGACTTGATGCCCCCTATAACGACTTGGTGGAGGAGACAGTGGAACACATGTTCTGCATAGGCCCCAAGAAGATAGCAAACTTTGTAAGAGCATCTGGATGGGAGCACTGCTGACACGGTCTAAGTGTGTCGGGATTGTGAATCTCGACAACCGCCTCAACCTAACCTAACTAGATGATTAAGAACCTAATAAATAATTTGCCAGTGGTTTGGTATGTTAATTATTTAGTTTATCTTATGTACAGTTGCTTCGGCCAATGGAAGTGAGAGACAATTTTAATCTTTTAAATGGTTTGATATGAGTGTAGAACTAATAAACAAAATATAAAATATAAACTGACATGCTGCGGACAGCCCCACAGCTCGTGAAGCGCTACCCGCGCAGCATTCACCAATTCTGCCGCGTCAGCTACCCGTGCTGACGCTGTCGGACTAAGTAAATTTGCAACGTTTTTCTGAATATTATTTTTTGTTATTCCTATTTTTAGGTGGCAGCAGGAAATATCTGAAACAGTATTTGAATCAGTCAATATTGAGACCGATAAGATCGAACAAAAAAAGAAATCTAAGCAAAAACAGCACTTTGATGCAGACGAAAAGGAATCTGATTGCATTTTACACGGGTATATTAAAAAACTAGGAGGATCGTTTGCGTCGTTATGGCAGACAAAATATGCTAAATTATATCCAAACCGGTACGTATAATGTTATATGTTATATTATACATAATGTTAATTATTCCCGGTACTTAAAGAGGTAAAGGGGTATAAGGACACCAAATGCTGTGTGAAGGCTAATGTGATATCACACTAATCAGCTTTTCAGATAAACAAAGTTCTATACAATCAGATTTAGGATACTAAACCATAAATCTTAAAAAATGTAAAGCCCTCAGTCTATCAGAAAAAGTCGGTTTGCTTCAAAGACATAAAAAACGAAAACATAAGATTGCGTATATATGTATGTACATACATATGTATCACAATAAGGCTATATACATACAGTTGAGAAACAAATAATAGCACCACTACAACACATTTGTTTCTTGTCAAAAAAAAAGCAATTACTGTTGCGATTTTTTTAAATATTTAATTTTTATAACCGGTACTCGAAGAGTAAATAGGGTATATTGTAAGGATATAATTTAGCATACAATATTTGTAAGGAAACGTTTTCGACCCCATAAAGTATATATATTCTTGATCAGCATCAATTGGGGAGTCGATTGAGCCATGTCTGTCTGTCCGTCCTGATGAGCGCCTAGTACTCAGAGTCCAGAAAAGCTAGAGCTCGAGTACCGGGTATAAAAAGTGTATTCAAATTATGATAGAAGATCCTTTAAAACACTTTAGAACTTGTAAACTGGTTAAAAGTAATTTGATTGGAATCGCTACAACGTGCGATTGCATTTTCCTTGGTACTTGTTTAACTCAGCAATAAATTGGATAATTTTCGTTTGAATTGTAATAGTTCTTTAGTTAATAATCTTTAGTTAGTCAGTTTTTGTCAATAGTTTTTACACTATAACATTTAATTGCGTCTGCTTCACGATTGGTGTTGGTCCAGACCTCCAGCAGGGCTGCGTGAGTGAACTCATAAGCATCTGCAAAATGTAACATTTTTTGAAAAGGGGCAAAAACGGGCAAAAAGTATTAACACCACGTGATTCTATAATAATTGGTTAATAACATGTAACTTGAACCTCTATGCAAAGGTGTGCAGTGCACAAGTAACATTCCACAGAACACACGTGCAATCGTTAGTACCAAAATTATATTAGTTAAAACGATGTGTGAGACGCTTCTTAGGCGTCACAACTTGTATATCCGGTATTCAGTAGTACTTCGTACCGCATCGGGTTTTTCAAATTTTACATTTTTCCTACATCTTTCATCAACATATAAATCTACATCACTTCTCACGCCAACACGCTCCTCTAGCTCGACCCCATCCCCTAGAGACACAGTCTGCAGAGGCACTGCAGCGGCAGAGGCCGCTAACTACACGAAACGGAGTGTGGATGAGAGAATGTGCAAAAAACAAATATAAATTAACTTTATGTCGTTTTTGGTCCGAGCTGCGGTATGCGTTGCGTTGGCTCCGGCGGCAGCGATCGGGTTCCCGTGGCCCGCTCTTGTAGCGGGGGACGGTGGTTGCGGTTGGCAACTGAGTCTTCTACCGAAGATTATGTTGAGAGGGTAATTGCCCTCTATTTCGTTGGCCCTTAAGGCTCAACAATATGATTATATCAATGCACGTTTTACGACTCGTGTCGGAGTTTATGTGAACGCTCCGTTCATTTATTCGTCCAATTCTAAACTAAAGCTTACTTCTAAACCTACACCGAAACCTATCCGGCGAGCCGTCCGCGCTCACAAGAGATAAGAGCCGCCTACGCATAAACAAGATCATGCGATCGCTGGCGCCCAATCAGATAACAGAGCCGCCCGCTGCAACGGCATCTACTGCATCGGCGCCCTCCGTATCGGACTGGATAAGTTAGGGCGCCACATGATATTTCACATTTCTTGTGCGCTAAGTTAGGGTGTCCCATGTTATTGCTTATGTGTTAACTACTCCCCCCTTAAATCATCTCCGTCCTCGGCGATACCTATCTCTCTGATGACCTTTTGCAACTTGATTGAGGAGTTGCTTCGAATCCAGCATTGATGCAACAGGATAAGGCCACAGAGCTTGAGGCTGACCGCAATGAACCAGGTCTTGGGTGACCCACCGGATGTCATGTCGCTTCTAAGTTCTTGGATGGCCCTTAGATTGTGCTCGTTCATCGATTGTAGTCGTGGTAGGCTTAGGATTTCACCGTGCCCCGTTATTGACAGCAAAGGCGAAGCTACGATTCCTGGAACTTTCCTCAATGCTTTGTTGAGGTTTAAGAACAGGGTGCTGTTGATCACGGTTCTGTCTTCGAACGTGATGAGGTGGGCCTCTCTTGTCGTCCTTAGGGGTCCATTGTCAACGCTGACCGTTGCTCGCTGCCCATTTATGATGATTATGCCATCGTCCACTACTACAGCATTGATGCAACAGGATGGTGGTGGCCAGGTGGCTGGGTTGCGTGCGTCATGAAGCAGAGCCGCCGGCGTGTACTTCGCGACATAAAGATAATTTTAACCTGGGAGTATTCTACTTAAATATGAAATGAAAAATTCTTATATTCTTACATACTCCCAACAAATAAGCTACTGGGACCTCTGTGAGCTGTTCGGTAAAAATAGATTTTAGGTCTTAGTGGGATATTCGCTTTGGCAAGTGTGATCGTAATCATGAGATTTGGACTACCGAAATTAGCATCCTGTTTCTGTGCCTCTGTGTTAATCAGTACTCAGTTAATCAGTCTATGATTCTACAAGCTGCTATTTTTTCGAAGCCCAACTCGTCGGGGGTACTTGCTACGACCTTTAATGCTGTTATCAGGAAGTCTAGGCTTCTGGCCATGTATCATTAAAGCGGACAACGGATTTTTTTATGTTCTATATCTGAATGTGGGAACAACTCCAACATTTTAACGGTATAAAAGGCGGTGATCCGCGCAGTTGTAGTAGAAGGGAGTAGGAAGAGTATTCCGTCAAACCTGCGGGAATGATACCTTAAATCTGTAAAACAAAAGTTTGAATTATTTCANAAGGCGAAGCTACGATTCCTGGAACTTTCCTCAATGCTTTGTTGAGGTTTAAGAACAGGGTGCTGTTGATCACGGTTCTGTCTTCGAACGTGATGAGGTGGGCCTCTCTTGTCGTCCTTAGGGGTCCATTGTCAACGCTGACCGTTGCTCGCTGCCCATTTATGATGATTATGCCATCGTCCACTACTACAGCATTGATGCAACAGGATGGTGGTGGCCAGGTGGCTGGGTTGCGTGCGTCATGAAGCAGAGCCGCCGGCGTGTACTTCGCGACATAAAGATAATTTTAACCTGGGAGTATTCTACTTAAATATGAAATGAAAAATTCTTATATTCTTACATACTCCCAACAAATAAGCTACTGGGACCTCTGTGAGCTGTTCGGTAAAAATAGATTTTAGGTCTTAGTGGGATATTCGCTTTGGCAAGTGTGATCGTAATCATGAGATTTGGACTACCGAAATTAGCATCCTGTTTCTGTGCCTCTGTGTTAATCAGTACTCAGTTAATCAGTCTATGATTCTACAAGCTGCTATTTTTTCGAAGCCCAACTCGTCGGGGGTACTTGCTACGACCTTTAATGCTGTTATCAGGAAGTCTAGGCTTCTGGCCATGTATCATTAAAGCGGACAACGGATTTTTTTATGTTCTATATCTGAATGTGGGAACAACTCCAACATTTTAACGGTATAAAAGGCGGTGATCCGCGCAGTTGTAGTAGAAGGGAGTAGGAAGAGTATTCCGTCAAACCTGCGGGAATGATACCTTAAATCTGTAAAACAAAAGTTTGAATTATTTCAGATTGTCCTTATGGACCACCCTCCCCTTAATTAGAACTGCCGTTCCAAGGTCCGCTTGTACCCGTTCTTCTGAGTACAGCGGGGTTAGCTTGTTCCCTAGTCTTTTGTTATTCCTTGGGTAAACCTTTTCGCCCACTTCAAAGACTCTGTTCTGCCTCGAAATGTTAAAAGGAAGCGCCTCGTTAGAGGTCGAAAAAACTTGAATTCTCTTCAGTATCATCTTTTTGAACTCGGATTTTACCGAGCCTGGGACCACCAGGTCATCGACTTTGGTGAAATTTACTTTGTCACAGTTGTGGAACCTAAGTTGTTCAGTTGCGTTTCCGTATCTGATTGTTCTGCTGCGCAGGTTCAATGCCGCTCCCGCTTGCGTTAGCAAATCGGAACCTATAATGGCATCAAACGTACTTAGAGTGTCTAACAAAAAAAATGGGGCTTTTTGCCCGAAAATATTCATTAGGCACTTGTTTTTTATTTCACTGGAGCCATGTATCGAGCTCACGGTGAAGGGGGCGTCGACCGAAGTTACGTTTTTCAGCTCCTTTATGGGCTTTACGTAATTTTTAGCCGCACCAGTGTCGATTAAAATTTGTAGTGTTTTGCCAGCCAACTGTCGCTCGACGAACGGCAATTGGGAGCGCTCCCTAAAAATTTCTTTTTCCCCTTGGTTAGGGGCCTGCTGTATTATATTATTTATCCGTTGGCGTCTTTGCCCAGATATACGATCTGACGTGTTCCGCCTTTTCTGAGCTTCGTCCTGTGTGACGTCGCTCTGTGGTTTGCCCCAATTGGTCTGTTGCCTAGGCTTCCATAGGCTGCACTTGGTTTTGTTGTGGGGCCTCTTCATCGTTTGGCTTTGGCAAAGGATCACCCTGTTGTTGCCTATTTTGATTACTTTTTCCCACAAAATGTGGGTTCTTTTCCTGACCTCTACCTTGTCTGGCCTGGGCCCGATGACCCTGTCTATTGCCGTCGCCTGAATGGTTTTTATCCTCGATCACCTTTGCATACGTAGCGGCAAATGCGCTTCTCTCAATGCTATTTTCGGCCTCGCGAGCTAGAGCTAAGGCGGATGGAAAATCCTTGGGCTGTGCCGGGAGAACGAACCATTTTAGCGGCCTCTTGAGGCCCGCTATGAATGCGTGTAAAGCATCATTCCTAATTTCCTCGTTGAGAATGGTAGCTGACTCCTCATTATGAGTCAAGACCACTTTGTTAGTGACGAGCGTGAGCTTTCTCTCGACTTCGTCATAATATTCCATTAGATCGGTTTCACCCTGCCTAACCATTTCCAAGTGTTGACGTAATACTCGTAGGGATGTTTTGTCGGCATATGTGCAATCGAGTCTAGCTATGATTGCATCAGAATTGAGCACCGTGTTGTGCGATGTGAGCAATGCTCGAGCTGTTCCACAGATTTTATTTTTAATGATGGCCACAGCCTGGTAGTGTGTCTGACTACCAGAGTAGTTTTTGAAAACTTCGTATGCATCTAGAGCAGATTGTCTCCAAGACACATATTCCTCATGATTCCCGTTGAAAGTTGGTACTGATTTTATGATATCTAGTTTCATTTCACATTTTATACTAGGGTCAATGGTCACTCTCTTATAAGTTTCCACCTGAGGGACACCTACAGTTAGAGCGCTCACACTATTTCTAACTTTTTCGAGTTCCCTGCTAAATTCTGCACTCAGTCGTCGTTCCTGTTCGACGAGGGCTGTGTTGATTGCGCCTTCTACTAACGCTTTTATCATGGCTGGGTCCATTTTAAATTGATTCTGCACTGTTCTGACTGGTGGCTGGTACAATAAGTCTAGGCTCTCGTCGCTGTCGTATTCGACCTTGTTTCTATAGTCCCAACTCATAAACGATCAGCGAAGGGGAGATCAAAATTCTCTCACAAGCTTTATTTTTTCCGAACAGTCACTTACATGTTATTTTTCTTGGGGACGTGGATCCTAAATCCCGTTGGGCGCCAATTAACTTTATGTCGTTTTTGGTCCGAGCTGCGGTATGCGTTGCGTTGGCTCCGGCGGCAGCGATCGGGTTCCCGTGGCCCGCTCTTGTAGCGGGGGACGGTGGTTGCGGTTGGCAACTGAGTCTTCTACCGAAGATTATGTTGAGAGGGTAATTGCCCTCTATTTCGTTGGCCCTTAAGGCTCAACAATATGATTATATCAATACACGTTTTACGACTCGTGTCGGAGTTGATATGAACGCTCCGTTCATTTATTCGTCCAATTCTAAACTAAAGCTTACTTCTAAACCTACACCGAAACCTAGCCGGCGAGCCGTCCGCGCTCACAAGAGATAAGAGCCGCCTACGCATAAACAAGATCATGCGATCGCTGGCGCCCAATCAGATAACAGAGCCGCCCGCTGCAACGGCATCTACTGCATCGGCGCCCTCCGTATCGGACTGGNGATATCTAGTTTCACTTCACATTTTATACTAGTGTCAATGGTCACTCTCTTATAAGTTTCCACCTGAGGGACACCTACAGTTAGAGCGCTCACACTATTTCTAACTTTTTCGAGTTCCCTGCTAAATTCTGCACTCAGTCGTCGTTCCTGTTCGACGAGGGCTGTGTTGATTGCGCCTTCTACTAACGCTTTTATCATGGCTGGGTCCATTTTAAATTGATTCTGCACTGTTCTGACTGGTGGCTGGTACAATAAGTCTAGGCTCTCGTCGCTGTCGTATTCGACCTTGTTTCTGTAGTCCCAACTCATAAACGATCAGCGAAGGGGAGATCAAAATTCTCTCACAAGCTTTATTTTTTCCGAACAGTCACTTACATGTTATTTTTCTTGGGGACGTGGATCCTAAATCCCGTTGGGCGCCAATTAACTTTATGGCGTTTTTTGGTCCGAGCTGCGGTATGCGTTGCGTTGGCTCCGGCGGCAGCGATCGGGTTCCCGTGGCCCGCTCTTGTAGCGGGGGACGGTGGTTGCGGTTGGCAACTGAGTCTTCTACCGAAGATTATGTTGAGAGGGTAATTGCCCTCTATTTCGTTGGCCCTTAAGGCTCAACAATATGATTATATCAATGCACGTTTTACGACTCGTGTCGGAGTTTATGTGAACGCTCCGTTCATTTATTCGTCCAATTCTAAACTAAAGCTTACTTCTAAACCTACACCGAAACCTAGCCGGCGAGCCGTCCGCGCTCACAAGAGATAAGAGCCGCCTACGCATAAACAAGATCATGCGATCGCTGGCGCCCAATCAGATAACAGAGCCGCCCGCTGCAACGGCATCTACTGCATCGGCGCCCTCCGTATCGGACTGGATAAGTTAGGGCGGCACATGATATTTCACATTTCTTGTGCGCTAAGTTAGGGTGTCCCATGTTATTGCTTATGTGTTAACTTATAAGCTGCGGGACGGGGTGGGGTTTGCCACTGCAAATTAATTTCTTCATTCTGGCTATAATAATGATCCAATCTGACCCCAATTCGTTGATATGATAGAAGGCGGAAGGAAGTGGGCCATTTTTTTAAATACACTTGGATCAATGTAATATCACAGCACTCTGGGGGAAAAATTCGGTGGCTCTAGCTTTAAAAGTCACTTAGAACGATACGGTCAGACGGACAGACATGGCTAAATCGACTCGGCTATTGATGCTGAATATATATACTTTGTGGCGTTGAAAAAAATTCCTCCTGTGTGTTACATTTTTTTCGTACAAACTTAATATACCCAGTAACTCTTCGAATACCGGGGATAAAAATACTTACCAACATATATATATACTTAATGCAAAATATGATGTACCCATACAACACAATACCCATACAACACACTTTCAAAATATATTATGTAAGCATATTTGCGGTGTTAAAACACAATACACGCCTTTTATACCGTATATATATCCTAGAAGAACTCCATCTCGCATTGGCGAGACTCCGCTGCCGTCCGGATTATAACTTCAGCAGACCATGAGATGTGTAATTCACAGTGCTACATTTTCTCGCCAATATGACACCTTCATGCGGAAACTCGCCCTCTATTATTTCGGGAATAAATACAACTTTAATAGTTAATAGTCATTCATTATAAAGTACTAAAGAAAGCCCTCTCATTACACGTCTTCAAAAACTCCTTCTCTTTACCTTTTATGGTTACTTCTGGAACACCACAGGGTAGCCATCTAGGCCTTCTAGTTTTCGTACTCTTTATTAATGACCTGCGTTTAGTATTAACAAACTCTCGACTACTTACGTATGTATTCTGATGATTTTAAACTCTGTGTCCAGTATAAGGACATTTATATAAGGACTGCCTCCTTACAGCCTCTGCGGCGGTTCTCTTGAAGAAATTACATTGACTGATGATCTTGGTGTTAAACTAGACCCCAAGTTAAAGTTTTCTGAACACATTTCTACCATGGTAAATAAAGCCATGGGTGTGCTTGGGTTTATAAAGAGGTGGTCAAAGGAATTTGATGACACCTATATAACGAAGACTCTCTATATCTCGCTTGTTCGTCCGATTTTAGAATACGGCTCATGTGTATGGTGCCCTCAGTACAACATACACCAGGACCGTTATTGAATCAGTACAGAAAAACGTTTGGCCCTTTTTGGCCTAAACTGGGATGCAACTGTGAGGTTGCCAGTCTACAGTAGTAGATTACTTTTAATCAACCTTCCATCCTTAGTTAGTGAAGTAGAAAACAGCTTGATGTAATTTTTAGGAACAACTTGATCAAGGGGGACGTATATAGCCCTGACTTGTCCCGTTAGACCCACTAGAAACTTTATTCTTTCGTTCCTTCTACTTCTACTTTTATGCTCGGATTATCATTGCCCCAATCAGATTATTTCCTCCACTTACTCACTCATAAACTCAAAAAAGCGCAACGTCAAAAATAAATTTAAAACTAGGACGAAATGGGGTAGTACCAGGGCATTTGCCCCGGACGTCAACATTTAGGGGCGACAATTTGGACTCGAAACTTCCAAATTTAATATAAAGTGGCGGCGCCGTTTTACAACTTCGCCCCGGGCCCAAAAACTGATTGGCACGGCCCTGGTCTTCAAAAAAAATTGGTAACTCTACCTCTTTTAGTCTCTGAGAACTAGTCGTCAAACAAAACGGATGGACCGACAGATATGGCTATATAGACTTGGCTATTAATGCTGATCAATAATATATATGTACAAATATACTTTATGGGCTGAGCACATTGCTTCGACCACAAATCTGATATACCCCATTTAAATTCGTTGTTTTGGTAAAAAGCTAAGAAAGTGAACTTCTTGAATTTAAAATTGTTGTTTTAAAAAAACTGAACAAGCATATGTACCATATTTAATAATTCTAATAATTCTGTTTACTTTTTTTGTAAGACTGGAACTTCACTCTGAGAGCGGAAATAACAAGCCAGAACTAATATTTATGGACCAAGTAGAGGACATTTCATCTGAGTTTATTTTACACAAAAACGAAAATTGCATTCAAATTCGCATTAATGATGGTAGTCGAGATGGTAGGATTGTTTTAACGAACACTGTAAGAAACTCAAATTTATTATATTTTATTTAAACTGTTTTAAAAATACCATTGTTTTTATTTCAGGATGAAATCGGATTAAAGGAATGGGCTTCATCTTTGAGATCCGCTCACAAAATGTCGCAAGATCTTTTAGGATCAATGGCTAAAAAAGCAGGAAAAATTTATGGTAGTGAACGAGATGCCAACAAATCTATATATATTTTAGGGGGTAATTGCTCAACGAAATCGTCGAATGGGTCTAATTAATTATATAATAACATATGTACAACAAAATTACTGCTATGTAAAACGACGTGGAGGTATACACAATGAAAATACATTTGGAAAGATTCCTAATAAACCCACCCACCCATACACCGTACACCCATAAATCCATACAGCATTCAAGGACACATGTTCATCACTTTTAATTTAATAGCCTGTAAATTCGAAAGAATTAGTACAAACATATTTATATCCTTTTGATTTTATATACCAGGTACTCGACGAGTTGAGGGGCTTGTTAGATTTGTTGTTTAATTACTGTGCGTAAGTTCTGTGTTGTGGTTTAAAAGTTTAACGGGGGGCCCTTCCACCTCCACGAAGGCCGAACATCTGTAGCATCCACAAACGCACGAGAAGTGACGTAGATGACAGATGTAGCGAAAAGTTAAAAATGTAAGACTTGAAAAAAAATCATAATCTAAATTGTAAGTATGTATATCCATGTACTGCTGCTCCGAGGATCTATCGATATTTAAAGTAGTCTCGTTCTAAAGCCTAGTAATCAGATCCGAAGACACGTTTGCTAGCAAACTGTGCAATATATTTTGCTAGAATCAGAGGGTGACCTGAGGTGTATGGTTATACTTCTCAGGAAGCCGTTTGGCTTTGTTATACCCGGTACTCGAAGAGTAAATAGGGTATATTGTATTTGTGCGAATAACGGTTGTATGTAACTCACAGAAGAAAGCGTTTCCGACCCCATAAAGTATATATACTCTTGATCAACATCAATAGACGAGTCGATAGAGCCATGTCTATCTGTCCGTCTGTCCGTCTGTCCGTCTTGTTTGTCGGCTAGTTCTCAGAGACTATAAGAGCTAGAGCCACCAAATTTTGAATCCAGCCTGCTATATGCTCACACTGAAACCAGTGGTTTTCAAAAATGAGCCACGCCCCCGCAAAAGGGCGAAAACCCCCCAAATCTACAGTTTTGAAGATAAAAGAAAACTAAAAACGTCATTCCGTAGGAAATGGCCATATCTATCAGATCACCAAATTGGGAAATTGATCCGATCGGATCATTATTATAGCCAGAATGAAGAAGTTAATTTGCAGTGGCTAAACCCACCCTGTCCCGCAGCTTTTGTTGCTCTTTTTACATTCTCTCATTCACACTCTTCTTCCGGGAGCAATTAGTATTTTGTATAAGTAAAATGAATTTGTAGCATTAAGCTGTTGTTGCATTTACGACATACTGACAGAAGTTTGTTGCTATAGAACATACATGTAATACGCTCTGTATTAGAAAAAGAGTGGCCATCAAAGTTGCGTACCAGCAAATTTCATAGATGGCGTCACTTTCGAAAAATCTGCTGTGAAACCTAGCTGTCATTATTGTACAGAATGTGCAGGGAAAAAGTACCAATTTTATTGCTGTTTTACATATCTCATAAATTGGAAAATACGGTTAACTGATCCAATTTTTTTGATGGATTTTATTTAGTAGGCTTTTTACTACGTGTTCTGTAATGTGAACGATATCTAGTGGTTGGCGATGTCTTCTACATCTAGATGTAGTCCTGAGTGCCGGGTATAAAATTTGTGACGCGTAAGAAGCTTCTCACACGTCCCTTCTCGTTTTATTTTGGAAAATGTGTGAAAAGCGCTAAAAGTGTTAATAAAACAAAGAAAGCAAAATGGTAATCTCCTTTTAGTGGGATTGGCGGCCCTTGCATTTGCGGAGGAGTAAACCCATGTGTGCAGTAAAGGACCCTCGTTTGTGTGTACATGTGAGTATTATAAATCATATGTGTAAATATGTGTATATTTATGGACACCCATGTAAAAATTCCCTTTGCGTATTCCGCAGTTTGAAAATATGACTGAGCGAATTTGCATATGTCTGGGAATAACTTCTTGGATTGGTAAAGTAGCAAGGGCGTACCAGGGATGATAGTCGTATGGAATCGATAAGAAATGTCGCGAACAAACTACTTTTTAGCGGCTGTACGCCAGGCAGTACTCAGATCGGAAAAAAAACTGGCCGATTAAATCTAGAAAATCAGCCGATAGTACTTTGTGAAATTCGATGGTACATTTCGAGCATATCGAAAAAGATACATTTGTTTTATGTTCCGCGAGCAAACAGAGAGTAAAATCTCAATAAAATAAAGGCAAAGATGCCGCTGAGGTGAAAAGAAAAACGAGAAGGGACGTGTGCGACGTTTCGTACGCGTCAAAACTTTTATACGCGGTTTTTCTTCCAAATTTTTCTTTTTTTCTTTCGTCTACATATGTAACTTCTCACGCCCCTTAGCTCGCCCCCTCCCCTAGAGCCGCAAACTGCAGTGTAACGGCAGAGGCAGAGGCGCCGCAGAGGCAGAGGCCGCTCACTACAAGAAGCAGAGTGTGGATGAGAGAATGTGAAAAAAACAACAAAAGCTGCTGGACGGGGTGGATTTAGCCACTGCAAATTAATTCATTCTGGCTATAATAACGATCCTATCTGATCCCAATGGCTTTCTTAGTTTTCTTTTATATTCAAAATTGTAGCTTTGGGAGGTTTCCGCCCTTCTTCGGGAGCGCAAAACTGTAAAAATGAGTCCCGCCCCCGCAAAAAGGGCGAAAACCTCCCAAGCCTAAAATTTTGAAGAGAAAACATAAAGTCCCTTCATTGTCGTGTGTTATGTCGATTGTCGCCCATCTCGATGGAATAAACAGCGTAAAAAGAATCGGCGGCACGACAACACAAATTAATAAATGGTTTTTGTTCTCATTTTTATCCAGTACAAACATTCTATTTTAGTGTTGTCGTCATTTTTGCCACATGGAGTGGCAACAGGGGGTTTTGAACTTCCGGAAAAAGTGGATGTAAGTTTCACACAGAAAGAAGCTTTTCCGACCCCATAGGGTATACATATGCTTGATATGCATCAATAGCTGAGTCGATATAGCCATATTTGTCTGTCCGTCCGTCCGCCAGTCCGTCCGTCTGTCTTGTTGATCGTCTGGATCTCAGAGACTATAAAAGCAAGAGGCATCAAATTTTGCATCCAGATGGCCGTATGTTCAGAATGTTACAAGTGTATTTCAAAATTTCGTCACGCCCCCTTCCGCCCCCGCAAAGTGCGAAAATCTGCTGTATCCACAATTTGGAAGATAAAATACGGCAATTCAAACAATTATAGCTCAGCCGTCTCACCATAGATTTTGATGAGCAATACCTTAACCGACGCCAAAATAATTCACCTATAAAACAGTAGAATAGACAGGATTTCATTTTTTTTCGACTTTTAATTCCAAATTCGGTAAAAATTCACAAAATACACGAAAATATACATTTTTGCATTTCAAAGACTTATATTTTTCAAACGGTAAGCTAAAACCACAAAGTGTTTGGGTACACTTTATTGATGCATTCATCAGCTTTATAGACTCGCTAAGTTCATTAAAATCAAATGCCTCTAAAAAAACCTTAAAAAAATACCAGATTTTAAAATTATTTTTAAAAAAGTTCGTTTCTTTCAGAAAAAGTAGGTGGTGAATTTCAAATCTGAGCGCTTTTTATTCAGTTTAAAGCAATGAACGTTTTTGCCTACTTGTTTATTTGTGCCTTCACTTTTTGTCACACAGAATGTATGCAGAAATATGTTAAAAAAAAGTCAATTTGGGAATAGGAACGACTCCGTAGTCCACCTACAACCCTAGTAAAGCTGAATGTTATTACCAAAAATCGCAATACTATTTGACCAGATGTTTTCTTATACTTCTTAACCTATCTCCTCATGCCCTCCGAAAAGAAATATGTTTTTCTATGATTTTTTATATTTGGCTGGCCAAGAGGTGAATACGCTGTTACAACAATTCCGTTGTAGTGACAGTAGTCAACCAAATCTTTTTGCAAAAAACCAGGCCAGATTTCTACCTAATTTGCCACTGGTTTTGAGGAACTGCAATGAATGATACGCTGTACCTGTTCCATATTAAAGTTCGAAAACCCGATGCTACGAACCAAGCCTAGTTTCACGAGTTCCTCCATAGCTTTCCATGTGTCTATACAATCAACGTCGCTGAATGTGAGGAAACCTATTAGATGACCTCAACCTATTCATTCTCTCCAGTAGTATTTGACTTGTCTGCAATTTACCGTCAGATATTGGCTTCAGAATCTCATCACACATATTTTTGTAGCCCACAGGAAAATGAAGCAAGTATAGGTCGATGTAGTTAAATCCCAGCAGTTTCAGTTTCTGCTTAGCAAAAGTTTCGTATAAGCCATACGAGCGTTTTGTAGGAAGTTCAAAGCACAACCATGCGGTCTTAATTATCAGGAACAAGAGTAGAGGGCCCGCTGACTCACTTTTAGCGTCGTTCACCCCAGTGTTAAACTTTGAGTCAATCATCAATCGTCTCGATTTTACATATTCGGACAAGCGTCTGATAACTTTGCCAGGGCAAGAGCTTGCCACATAGCGACAGGGTGGACTGTCCATCACTCAGTTCTACGAAGAGGTCGAGAAGAAGCTCACCCTTCTCACAAATAAGACGATCAAGTCACAAGATGCCACACAGGCGCAATACATTAACGAAAAGTATAGGGCTGACGAACTCCGTGTCTTCGTTTCAGGCTTAAGAAGAGGCCTCACGGATACATTATTTGCGGCACAGCCTGCGGACTTGCCATCAGCCTTGGCCTTGGCACAAGAACTTGAGGCCAACCATGATAGGCAGGACTTTGAAACAAATTACGCAAGAGCTTTAGAAAGCAAAGCACAGAACCCAACAAAATATAGGGCAGGGCGGACAGAATGATCCCGATCACTGTGAGAGACAATGAAAGAACCCGTTCTACACGAACAATCAGGGGAACCATCGAACAGGTGGTCACCGTAGCCAAGACAAAGTAGAGATGATGGGTGTTGATCCATATTCCTCTAAATTCCATCATCCAACTGGCTTTCAAAAGCAACAGGGGCACAACCCAGGCCTACCGGATACAGCAAACCCTAAAACCGGTCACCAACATGGTGCGTATAAAAGGCCGGTTGGATCCCAGAGATTCTCCGACCAGCGCAGGCAGAGGATCAATCAATCAGCAGAGGATCAATCACCTAACTCAGGTGGACCCGTACAAATACAAAAGACAATACGAACAGTACAATAAGCGGTTATTAACTTGTCTTGTCGTGCCGCCGATCCTTTTTACACTGACTCATTCTATTGAGATGGGCGACAATCGACCATTTTTCTTTTTTTTTTAATTTTATCGCTACAGCGAAATTGGTTGGTCGCAGACGATGAGTCCGCATTGACCAGTTACAAATGTTACTACAAATTTTGAACTAAAAAAATAGTTGTTTGCCGAACGAACAATAAAAATATATTTGAACAATCGACCATACCATACGATAGTTAATTAACTACAGATGGTTGATGAAATATCGATAGCTAATAAAATATCAATAGCAGGCTGACAATATTAGGGGTGGAAACGTGGTGACGGTTAAAAATTAAAAATTTTGATTATCATAAATGAACTAGCAACAAACCCACTAAAAGAACTTAAAGGTAGCCGACAGCGCTGGGGAAGAAGAGCAAGGGTTGCTAGGTGGCAAGGAGGAGAGAAGGAAACGTGGCCGTAAAGGTTATATTGCGATGGTCAGTTTCCGGGAAGAAGTGCAAGAGATTGGTCGGCAACCTAAAACAAAAAAAGAGAACAATAAAATCAGTGCCCAGACCCGTACAAAAAAGAACATCATGAAACCGACAACCGTGAAGCGAGGCGACGACGTCGCTGGAAGGAGGAGAAGGCAGCAGCGGACACCACGCAGAGAGCCGACAGCTGGGTCAGCGACAAGACTGGCCCGGCCGGAGCACCCCGGGAGGATCAGAGCGCCAGATCCAGAGAAAACACCTGCCCACGGCACCGGCAAATCCAACACACCGCACCGGAACATTCAACGCCCCGCACACCGCAACATCACATCATCATATAAATCATATCCACATCACGCATCCATCACACACACACCCGCATGTATTAAAATAGCAAATAGACGCACATATTAACCCCATTATGAATATATTTAAATTTGAATAATAATACCAACAAGCCCCATAACATATTCACATACACATATGCACTCATTTTCTACAACCTCATTCGCACGTCATATATTTATTCCCGAAACATCTAATCAATTAACACTTAGCACATATATTTTCGTTTGACTTAAAATTCCACAACACAACAATCACATTTTTTTTTTTTTTTTTTTTTTTTTTTTTTTTTTTCTCTCTCTTTATATTTACAATCTGTTTTTAAACAATAAGTAAATTGTATAATTAATATTCAATTAACAGAAATAGCAGTTTTCCAATGAGCCCTGCTATTATATATAACATCTTTTTAGTTTGTTAAATTTATCTATCAGGGATATCGAGAATGTGGTATCTTTTCAGTCTTCTTACTGTTAGGCTATTGTCTAATAGACTTAAGGCTAAATTATTTTCGTGGTTGTGGAGTCTGTCGATGTATTTCTTACTGGTTTTCTTTATTTCTTCTTTAATGGTTGGAATATTCAGATCTTTGTGGATGTTTGCATTAGATACGTAAAACGGAGCATTGACAATTTGTCGCAAAGTTTTTGATTGGTAACGCTGAAGTATCTCAATATTTGAGTTGCTAGCAGTTCCCCAAAGCTGTATAGCGTAGGTCCAAACAGGCTTCAGGATGGATTTGTAGAGGCGAATTTTGTTTTCCAAAGTGGTTTCTGATTTTC